AAGGGTTATAGTAAATTCTTGAAAAAGAGAGATAAAACTAAAGTGGATTAGTTCAAATAGGATAGAAATTGATTTGTCAATTGAAAGATTTGCTTTATAAATAAGATCAGTTAAAAATTTAGGTCTTTTGTTTATCAAAGTTTTAATCAGATATTTGTAATTTAGTTTTGATTCAGAAGTTTTGTCAGATGCTGCTTGGATAATTTTTCCTAGATAGATATTAATAAGATATAGTTTAATAAAAGTAAAAAGTTGTTGAACAATAGAATTATTAAGTTTGATATTATTTTTCATTAAGTTAGTGACTAGATATTCTTTAAACCAATCATGATTATTATTAGTATCTTTTTGGTTTTCTTTTTTTTTTTGTTTTTGTTGTTTGTTATTTTTATTTTTATTGGAGAAATAAGAAATAAAAAATTTAATTTTGTTAGCAGATTTTATTTGTTGAAGTTTAATAAGAGCATGAATAATTTGTTATTTGAGAATAAGAAAAGTGATGATTTGTTTTGGAGAAATAGAAGAGGAAGTTTGGGTATTTAAACTAATTAGTTTTGATTTGATTATAGTTGTAGTTGTTTGTTATTGAAATGTCAAAGGTAAAGTTTGTATAAGAGGTTTAAGTTCAATATCTAATAGGTTAGGAACATAAAGACTATGTAATAAATTACTTTTAAAAATTTTGCAAATAGTATAATCTGGAGTATAATTGCTTTGTTCAGTTGTAACACAAAAGATGTTTTTAATTCTATATATAAAGTATGTATGGTAATACTAAGAATGTACAATAATTGTAATTAAAGTAGAATCTATTTGGAAGCCAGAAAATAGAATGTAAGGTTTAGTCATAGAGATATTTGGTTGTTGTTGTTTAGAAATAGATGAATTAGACAATTCATTAATAATTTTTGTAAATCGGTTTGCAGATATAGTAGATGTAGTTTGAGATGTAGGTCGACCAAGAAATGTAGAATAAAGAATTCTGTAGAATTTAAAAATAAAACTAGTATGGTATGTTCTACAAAGATATGTAGCAATAGTAGGTTGTAAAGAAACTTTAAAGTAGTAATGTTTTTAACAAAAGCATCACAATTAGTTGAATTAATATCTGCAGAAAGAACCTGTAAAGATTGAGATTTTCTTTTAATCATTTCTACACTATAATAATCTCTATATTTGCCATGATACTAGTCAATATTATAAGAATATGGGTCTTTATTAATAAGAGTTGGCATTTTTGTTTAAAAAATAAAAATAAACTAGATTATGAGAATTTTAGATATAAGATAATCTGAAAGATATAGAGGTATGACAAATAAGAAATGTGACAAATAAGAATGTGACAGATAACAGAATATGACAAATAAGAGAATGTGACAAACATAGAATATGCCAAATAAGTATTATACAGAGTATATAACACTTGCAAATCTGTAGGTTAAGATTGATAATAAACAAAAATATTATATAAAATTATAAGAATACAAGTTTGTAAACAGTACAGATTAGTTTAGATAGTATAATTTTAGATTGGTAATCCTGTTTGGATGAGTTTGGATAGGGTAGACCAGAGACAGCCCTCCAAAAAAAATAAAAAAAAATTTGTAAAAATAAAATGCAAAGTTTGCAAAAAAGTTTAAAAGAATTTTTTAATAAATTGGTCAATTTTAGGTCATTTTTAATAATTTATATATAAAAATGAAGCTAACAATAAGTTCTTTCTTTTAGTTCTAAGTTACCAGAGCAGTTAATCTAGTAATATTTTGAAAAAACTTGAATATAAATGTTTTTTAGTTTATAAATATATCTCTATTAAAAAAAAACTTAGAGATATAAAACTTGCTTATCTAAGTGTAAAATTGTGTTAGGAACAATTTTACTTAGATGTCCAGAAGTAATTTATTTAATAAAATATTAAGTAAAAGTCAAATATTTGTTATAGCAGAAATTTGGTACAAGTAATCATCAGAAAAAATTAGTAATTTGCATCTCTAAAAAGGTCATCTTAACATTAAAAAAAAAAATATATATATATATAAAAGAAAATATAAACATTAATTTAGTCAAAAATATTATAAAAAATTTGGTTTAAATTTCATTAACTTATAACTTAGTATTTATATAAGAAATTATTTAAAAAAAGATTAGTAATATTATTAAAAGCCTTCTGAACAACAAAACTTTAAATATTGATAATCTAACATATAAGTTTTATAAGCTTACTAAAAAGACTATAACTTTAATCTTATACAGAGTATTTATTCATATACTAAACTCAGAAATTATACCAACTTCTTAGTACAAGAATCTAATTTTCTTGATATCTAAAAAAATAACAAATTTGAAAAATATAAACAACTAAAAACCTATATCTTTAATGAATAGTAATGCCAAAATATTTATAAAGATTATAGCTAATTGATTTTATTTGTAAAAAACTTATACTATATCAGCAATATAGATTTATTCAAAATAGATTTATTACAAATGCAACTCTAGATATTATTATCACTATGAAGAATTAATCAGATTTATCTAAACAATACTAGTTATAAAAAGCCTTTGATCAAGTTAATTATGCCTTTTTAAAGCTTACTAGCTTTTGAACCTTTATAAAAAATCTAAAAAGACAACTACAAGAAATTAAATTAAAAACTAATATTTTAAAACTTTAGTATATGCTAATAACTTAACTATAAAAATCAGATTTCTTATAGACTAAAACAAAGTACAATTTTTGATAAGCTTATATAAGGCTGTCTCAAATGCAAAAATTAATAAAATAAAAACAAATCTAGTTTTATTTACCTTTATTGTATAAAAAGTAGAGCTTTGTAATGAAGAACAACTTATTAAGTTAAAGGAACAAGACACTTGCTATTTTAGAATATAGTGTTCTTACAAATAGTTAGTTAAAAAAAAACTTTTGGGCTACAACTACTAACAAGTAAAAGGATTATTTGATAAACTCTTAAATAGAAATCTTTTCTTTAAAGAAAAAAATTTTGATTATAAATTTACTTATTTTATCTAAAATTTAGTATTCAACTTACTTATTATCTTCTAACAGAAAACAAGTAGTAGAAATAAACAGAATTATCTTTTTTTTAGATTAAAAACTTTTTATAAATATTTTCTAAATATTCTACTTTTCAGTAACCTTTAGATCTGACAGGACTTCAAGTTTAGTTATTAAAGATATGCTAGATGCTTGTCTAATTTCAGGTTAAATAAAACTTCTTATTTCAAACTCAATATAGACAATGTATAAAAGAAACAAAATAAACATAATATTTAGAGATAAAAAAAATATTTCTCTAATACAGGTTTTGAGTTCAAATAATATATATATAAAAACCTAACCTACAGAATAAAAACCTTATTTACTAAACTAAATAAAAACTAAAAAAAGAGTTCTCTTCATCTCTAATTGATCTTGAGATATAAAATAAATTATAATCAAAGAAATAAAAAAAAGATAAGCTTTTAGTTAAAAAAATCTTGGAATTTTTAAAGAAGACTACTTTGTTTCTTATTTCTTTTTATTCTTTATTCAAACTACTCAACCTACTTGGTTTTTTCTAAAACCTATATATAATAAGAAAAAAAACATTCTTTAATGTCTTTTTTACAGAACTCTTTCTTTAATTTATCATCTTAAATACATTAGACCAACAGAAACAGGCAACTATATCTAATGTCTCAAGAAGTTACAAACTCTTAAACATTTTGCTTTTAAGTGTTTTAGAAAAATAATAATCTAAAAAAAAACATATAACTTTCTTAACATCAATGGAGAGAAACCTCTTCTGATCACACAAAAAAATGTTTTTCAAGCTTCTAATATTGACTGTGTTCAAGTTTTAACCACTATAATCTGGTTACATATCAATATAATCTATAAAATTTGATGTCAATATACTTTATTAAAATGAAAAGGCACTGATACCCCACTAAGCTCACTTAATATATTAATTAAAACCTGCATTTCTAAGGAAATATGTGCTTTAAAATATAACACACTAGGTCATAGACCTAAAAATACCAAACTAATCTGTAAATAGCTAAAATGTATATAGACTATTTGTAATATCTTAATACTACAATATCTTAATAAAAGAGCACCACCTGCGCCCCTAGTTGCTAAAGCAACAGGGATACTCAAAAAAAAAAAACGATTCTCAATAATAAAAATATCACATAATATAATACTTAGATAGTGAAGCATTTGGTCATAATGCTGCGTCTCATGTATCTAATCACGAAAAAACTGTAGAAAAGTAACAATTTATTTTTTAATTTGTATGCTATATGCAGAATTGGCAATGGAGTTAATTAAGATCAATGATTACTCGAATAGAGTTCAAAAAACTAATAACAATTGACTTCATTCAGAGCTTCATCGGCTCTATTCAGAGCTCTCAACTACATTCACAGCTCCATTAGGCTCCAATGAGCTCCGTTGCCAACTTTGAGTATAGGATAAAAGCTCAAACCTACTTTCATATCATTAATATCTTAAATTACAGTATTAAACACATTTAACCTTTTATACAACAAAAAATGTAAACAATTCAGCATGAATTTTTATTAATCGAATATTGAGTTAAAATTATTACAAATTTAATAATAAAAAAAACAAAAATTTTATAAATTTGGTTTCCACCAGTTATTATTCCAACGCCTGGGATCACTATATGAATATGTTTTGGGACATTGTTCGTCCTCATCGTGATATACAGGTCTATATTTTTCTGAACAATTTGAACATTTGAACTTTGTTTTCCATTCTTGACTTGTGATCTCGGACGATTTCGGCAAAAGTGATCAATATTTAACTTTTTTGCACCATTTACATCACTTATAATGAGAAAATTTTCTAAACCTTATTAGTTCTTTTCTCAGGAAAGCAAAATAGAATCTGAACTTTACAACATTCCAAAAACAAAGAATATAAGAAAATCGAAGAAAATTGATTCAGATTAAAGATTTCAATAATTTCATGAAGGATGAGTAGTTCCTTCAGATTCATGCGTGGGCGGAGCAGTAGTGATGTGATCATAAAGATGTGAAGTTCTATTATTAATTTCAAGTTCAGAAGCATACATTTGATGGAAGGAGATTGAATCCCTAATAGAAAAGGATTGATTCATGAAATGGAAAGAATTATCATGTAAAGGTACTGACATATTTTGCGTGAAAAACAACTGCTGCTGCAAGTTGACATCTTCCTCAGAAATTGCCTCGCAATCGGATGCCTCCACATTCGATTGCTCGGGAGTTATAATAAAAGTATTATGATTCTGATCTGGTTTCTGCACCGGAGTTTTTTTCCTCTTTGATTGACCCGCATTCGTAAATCTAATCTTCAAAACCGATTTATCTCTATGAGGATGAAATTCAAAATCCGGGTATTTATCTTTATGAAGTTTAAAAGCTGAATAAGCAAGTTGTTTAAAAATTTCCTTTTGTTCTTTAGAGAGCATTTTCCAAAGTTTTGATTGACCTTTCGAAAGAATATATTGATCATTATAGCCCGGAATTTTATGTTTTGCTGCATACTTAGCGACCACACGTTTGAATTGGAGAAAGCAATTTGCAGGTCTGCTAACTGGGAGACATACGGACATAAAATCATTATCTGGAGAACATAAAACAGCTAAATCTACATTGTTGATAAATTTATCAACTTTTTGCTCAATAGATGATTTTGATAATCTCGACCGTAAACCTTCTTGTCGTCTGTCTCGATTTTCTCGACTTGGAGAGCGTGAATAATCCGCTTTGGGTATATCGCTATCAATTTCCATAACGTTAAATTTTTCTCGATTATCTACGTATAATCACAAAATAAAGAAGTTATGATACCATATTGTATTAGTACAATCTTAATATACATTATAACATGGGGTGAGTCAGTAGAAATCAAGAAAATTGGTTTTATTAGATTTTTTTAACTTTAAATGCTAATAACTCAACAAAAACTTAATCAATTTAATAAAAAATTTTTTAAATAAATTCTATAAGTTTGTAGAATTCATTTAAATAACATTTGATTAAGTTTTTGTTAAGTTATTGTTATTCAAAGTTTTAAAAAAAATTTACTTAGAAAAAATTTGCTTGATTTCTACTGACTCAACCTCACGTGTTTACTAATCATAAACTCCGATGTCTCCTTAATTGTCATAATTCCGAAATTAAAATTATTATATTGTTATAGAGATATCAATCCTATAAATAATTTGGCAATCCTACAGGTTCCACACATTGATTAACAATGTTTTTAGATGATTGATTACCTTTAAAATAATTAGCCACTTCTATACTTTCGTTTGTACCATCTGAAGAAACTGAATATTCGGATAAATGCTTATGCTGTTGATCGGCTGTTGTTAAAGATGATTTAATAGCTTCGTGATTGCTATTATATTGCTCATCTAGACATATGTTATAATATAAAAATCATAAACATTTGATTTAGAAGAATAAATTTTAAAAAGTTAAAATAATCAAATTTACCGGAGTCTTCAGATGAAACCAATGCATTATCATCAGGAATAATTATACAGGAATCTTTAGTAAATATTCGAATAAATAGTAAATTAAAATGTGAATTTTGTATAGAGTTTCGTGCAATAAAATACTCAAAAGCAGCTTATCTGAAAAAAGGGTTACCTGAGCTAAAAAGATCATTTGGGATCATTACGACAGAATCTGCAATGTAAATGCTTTTTATAAGACCAAAATTCCCATGAAATTTGAAAATAGTATACTCTACACTTAAATACTAACCATTTTTTTTCGTTGTCGAAGGTGTAATATGCTGATAAGATTCAAAATCTACTTTAGTATTGGAATTTTTATTTACATCTTTATGCTGCGTAAGTTGATTATTTGCTATGACGGTATTCGTAATAAATTCAATAGAAGTTTCTACTGAGAGTCTCTCAATTGTTATTAAAATTTCATTAAGTATTGGGCGTTGACCTGGATCAGAAGACCAGCATCGTTTATAAATTTCAATATAATCTATCGGTGTATTGTGGACGATATACTCCCTATCATTGTTTGCAATTTTCATGATTTTCTTCATTAAAGTTAAATTGTGAAATGGAGGAACACCACTCGTAAGTTCCCAGAATAATACTCCTAAGCTGTATATATCTGATTTCTCGTTTCGTTTAAAATCTTTGCCACTCAAAAGATATTGTGGATCTGTATATGCTATCACATTTTGTGTGTTTATGCTAGAAGAAGCAATATCGTCTAAATTTTTAGATATACCAAAATCTGCAATCAAGGCTTTGTCATTATTTATAAGAATATTCTTAGAATGCTAGAAAAATTTTATAGCAATTGTTTGAATTAAATAATTAAAATATACCGAATATTAATAATCAAAATATAGTTTACCAAATCCAGATGTAAAATTTTGTTTGCATGTAAATATTCTAATCCATTAGTAATTTCTTTTGCTATTCGGATAAGTTCAGTCCATCTGATTTTAAAAAGATTATTATTTTTTTTGTTTTGCAAATATTCCCGCAGAGTCCCTCCATTGGCAAATTGCAGCACCAACATGAAATTACCCGTTAGTGGGTCTAAAATTTATTTGCAAGTAAAATTAAATTCTAATTATTTTATATAAAATAATGAATATCAAAATATTATACCCCTTGAAGTCCCATATAATTTAACAATGTTAGGATGACAAGCTTTATAATGATGCTTAAACTATGTAATTATTTCATTATCAGGTTGACAGCTATAGATATCGGAAACAAAGTAAAAAATAACGAATAAAAATTATTACCTCATTAGCTAATTTTTTAAGTGTTTGTTTATCCACATACAGGTTATTGGTTAAATTTTTTAATGCGTACTTTTCTTTTTGAAAGGTGGCTGAGTATACTGTTGCAAATCCTCCATATCCGATATTTTTAAGATTTCCAAATTGTGAATAATCAAAATTTTTTACATTTTTATTTTTTAAGAATGATTCCAGATTTTCTGAAAATTCTGCTACTAATATCCATAAAATTGGCTATGACATTAATATCTATTTAAAATTAGGTTTAATTATGTGTTAACTTACATGGCTTTTTTAACGAGTCATTAATTGTTGCAACATCAGGTACTTCATGAATAATTTCTGAGGGCTTCAATACATCGGGCTGACGCTTATACCGGTCTTTGGTGCATATTCCAAAGTATGTTTCTCTAACACTAATTGCCATCTTCCTATAAAATTCCTTTAAAAATAATTTATTAGCATAAATTTATATTAAGATAAAATAGCCTGAGAAACACCTTTTCCCGGGATGTAGCCCTAGCCCATAAAAATGATGTGATTGTTTTTATATTAGTATTAATTTCAAGTCGCTGAGCTTCTCGTTGAACGTTCATACTGAAGAGCTTATATGCAGTAATATTGCTCAAATTTTTTTGACCCACTGGATCGATCAAGTTTTCCAAGTTATGAGGAGAAAAAATATTTGACATGTTGAGTAAATTTAGGGACTCCATTTTCTTCGTACTTTAAGAAAATAATATTGGTATGATTTTATATTGCAACTGGATCATCCAATTAATATTTAAAATGTTTTATCGAGTTATAAGGATGCTTAAATATATTTATAGGTTTCACAAATCATTAAAGAGGTTAATTTAAACGGATTCAGCACCGGTACGCTTAAATAGGTAAATTTAAATAGGTTAATTAAACGGAGTCAGTACGCTTAATATATTTATAGGTTTCACATATTATTAAAGAGGTTAATTTAAACGAAGTCAGTACCATTGAGAAATCTATGTTCTCTCGTTAGAACGAGACTTTTATGTTTTCGTAATGTTAAGATTAAAAAATCAATTTTTCTAAATAAACAAAATTGCATTTAAGGGCATTAACATAGGAATATTTATATATTTGAGCCTTAAATTATTAAAAATTTTAAATCGATATAAACGAAATCATGTCATTATCGAATGTGCCTTCTCAAAAAGGTATATTATTAATTCCTGGTAAAGATGAATTTGTCTTAATATCTGTTATTAATTACCTAACTTTCTAATCGGTTATATAATATAGATCCCGTGGAATTTAATGGAGTTATATCACAACCATACGAGATTTTTTATATGAAATCAGAAAACCACAATATTCAGATTGATAGCTCGTTAATAAAATCACGTAAGTTACCGCAATGTGCAATTAAAGTTCAATATCAAAATCAATATATTTACACAGCGAATATTTTTATAACCTTAGTAAATATATTTTCAAAATCATTGCAAATGTACATAAAAAAATATAATATTAAGGACTTTGATTATTCAAAATTTGGTAGAATCAAAAATATCGGAGGTGGGGGATCAGCAAGAGTATTCTCAGCAATTTGCCACGGAAAAAAATATGCATTAAAAAATTTAAATAACTACCTATTTATGGATAAGAAGACTTTCAAAAAACTCTGTAGTGAAGTAATACGCTATTCACTATTTTGATTCTTTAGTTTTTGTAAATAAGCATATAAATGAGATAATTTTGTGTAGCTTAAGCACCTTGCTAAAACTCATCACCCTAACATTATTAAATTATATGGGACCTCAAGAGGTATAATATTAAATATTTATTAATTTTATGTATATTATTATAGCTTAATTTCACTCATTAATAAATTTTTTTTTTTAGACCCACTAACAGGTGGTTTTATGTTGGTGCTGCAATTTGCCAACGGAGGGACCCTACGAGAATATTTGCAAAATAAACATAGTAATGAGCTTTTTAAAATCAAATGGGCTGAACTTATCCGAATTGCAAAAGAAATTACTGATGGACTAAACTATCTGCATTCGAAAAATATCATACATTTAGATTTGGTAAACTGTTTTTTTTTGATTCTCAACGTTATTGTACCTTTTTAATTATTTAATTTAAATAGTTTGTTATAAAATTTTCTTAGCATTCTAAGAATATTCTTATAAATAATGGTAAAGCATTGATTGCAGATTTTGGTATATCTAAAAATTTAGACGATATTACCTCTTCTAGTACAACTACACAAGGTGTAGTAGCGTATACAGATCCACAATATCTTCTGAATGGCAAAGAGTTTAAACGAAACAAGAAATCTGATGTATACAGCTTAGGTGTATTATTCTGGGAACTCACGAGTGGAGTTCCTCCATTTCGTAATTTAACTTCAATGAAGAAAATGTTGGAAATTGCAAATAATAATAGGGAAAAAATTATAACTGGTACGCCAAAGAATTATTCTAGTCTATTTGAGAGATGTTGGTCTTCTGACCCGAATCAACGTCCAACAGTAGACAAAATTTTGGTTGAACTTGAGAAACTATCGTTAGAAATCAAGGTTAAATTTATTAAAAATAACATTCAAAACTCGAATAAACGATTCTAATTCTTTAGAAAGTTGATTAGATTTCGTAACGGTTAGTGTTCAGCATAATCAAACAAAATTTTGATATCAAATACTTGATAAGATCGAATATCAAGCGATCGTAGATCAAATAAATTACAATAGCAGTTATAGTTGATTTGGTTTTTAAACACTGTATATCGATATGGATTGAGTCAAGCAAATTAAAATCGAGATTTTTTAATAAAATCATAGAAGTCATGCTATTATATTAATTTGAAAAGTAATAGTTTGAGGACAAGATGAATACTTTCCATCGCTCTAAAAATTTATCGATTATCAGAGTTGACCCAGCTTTTGCAAAAATTCTGCGACAACTTCATTACGGCCTTTGGTTGGCGTAGGAAAAATTTATTATAAGTATTGAAGGAAAACCATTCGGACTAAAGACCGTGTCATACAGTATTGTAATGACGTGTAAAATTTTTGTTTACTATATATTAACCAAGTCTACGCGTACTAAGCTCCATTTCTTTGTTTCGATATTTTTATAAATAACATCTGAAAATAATATAACATGAATATTTAAACAAATTAGTGTACTTTTTTTAAGAGTTATGTAAACTTTTCACATAAATGACATTTAAATGATTACTTAAAAAAAAAAATTCAAAAAAATATTTTTATAATTGAAGGTACTCTGCCAATTAATTAATTTTTGTATTTTAAATATTTTTAACTCAGTATAAGAAAGCTTTAGATAATATAAGAATAAACTCTTTTCTGAAAATTACAAAATTATAAAGAACACTTCTTTGCAGATCTTAAAACATAAAAATTGGCAGAGGCAAAAAACAAAAATAGACAAAACAATGAATATTATAGAAGAAAACCTAAATAAAAAAGCTTACTTCAGGCAAGAAAACTACTTATACAATATATAAAGTATTAATATAACTGTTATAAAGATACAAGACAAAAATAAAAAAAGCCTTTGATGGTACCATCAGAACAGTTGAAGTCTATAAAACACCTTCATAGAAACCGAAGATTAAAACCAAACAACAAATATGTGTAGAGGAACACATAACCAATCAGGTTGCTGGGTTTACCAGAAGAAAAGGATATGGAAGTATACCATACCAGGTCATCTGGATTGGTAGTCTGGAATAAGACTGATGGTTCTGAGTTGTGGCTAGTAGAGGATAATGGAGAAGATACCAGAAAGATGGGTACTGGGATTCTAGTGAATTTTACAAGAGTAGAAATAGTATAATGTAGCAGTTAAACAGATAACTCTTGTGACTGCAAGTGTTAGGTAACTATAGCATGTTGCATAAAACTAGGTCTAGAAGTGTGGGACATAAAGGCTCTAGTAAGTTTCCTATCGAGGATAAAGTAGTCTTAAAAAGACTGATAAGTATCAGGAACTTGGATGGGCAGTGCCTTGAGATGTTTCCATGATATAAAGAGGACTGCATATGCAAAGGGTTTAAATAGGCAAGACCCCTAGTTGGCTTACAGGTATGGCAACTAGTGTAGAACTTATATAGTAATGTATAAGTGGACTACTTAAATTAGGCACCAAAAGTGCACATGTGACTAGTTGTAACCTCCAATGTAAGGTGAGCCCCTGGTGGCATGCTGTGTCCTAATATACTTGAATAAAAACATTGCTATTTCCAAGATAGAGACTTTAACTAAAAAAAAAAAAAAAAAAATAAAAATAAAAAAGAAAATTTTATATTGTCAACAAAGAAAACAGATCAAAGTTGATAAAATCAATATTACTTCTTAGTTACAAAATTAAAATATCAGACTTAATAAATAATAATTATAAATATCCTACCAAACAGTAATAATATCACATTAATCTAGATTTTATCTACAAAGGCATTTATATTAAAAAAAGATGTATTGTTTTTTCTCAATTTTCAATTAATAACAAAAGTAAACAATATAATATACTCCTTATAAAACAAATAATAACATTATTATATGTAAACCAATATAGTAATAATATAACACAAACCAGAAACAATAATAATATAACAAACATTATAAAAGAAAAAAACAATACAATAATTATTATATATAATACACAGTTTTATATTACTACAGTTAGGAATTTTATCAAATTTGGTGATTAACAATTGCACCTTATTTGAAAATAATCAACTATCAGATTATTTTAGATTTTTGTTTATGCATTCAATAATTGACCAATCAAATTAAGATTTAAATTATTCATTTTATTTCAGTATTTATTTTCAAAAATTACAACTTTATAAATGCATGTTTCATAGATACAAACCTCTCTAAATGCACTGTTCTAGCTTAAAAGTGCTCTATATATTTTGTTTTATATAAATGCATACCTTTTTTAAATCTACATTTTAAACTTTTTTCACTATGCATTAACAGTTCCAAGGGTAGTGCATTTAGAAAGTTGTAATCATATTTCTTTTCGATCCTTTTACTAATAGTTGTTTTTGAACTTTATTTTAAAGAATCAGCATTTCTTTTTTTATATTAAGTGAACTATCTTTTCTAAAAACTTGATTTTTTTTTTTACAGATTTATTCTTTTCTAAATCTTGATCAAAAACAAAGATTAGAAGTGTTTTTATAGACTATTTTATAGTTGCATAGAAGTTCTTTATTTTATTTCTGTTTTTTACTTCAATTATTTTTTATTAATTATATTTTTTTAGGCCCAATAGAGTAAATTTCTTTTAAGAGATAGGGTTCTGTAGCCTAGTAGTCTAGGCACCTTCCCTCTACAAACAAGATCAATAGTTCAATTCTAGCTGGAAGCAAAACTCTGTAATTTACAGAAGCATATGAATGTATGTAAAGCTCTATAGCTAAGTTTATGTAATTAGAAGATCAATATATAAGGAAGTTCTTAGAAAGAAGTTTCCTGATATGGAAAGTTGGCACTTATTGTGAGAGAAGTGATGAACATACCAGAAATAGAGAGAAGGCACACTAGCAGATAATATAGTGAACATAAAAGAAAACTATAGAAAAGGAATGGACTTACCAAAATTTGAACACTTCTGGCACCAAACTGATTCTAGTAGATATGGGATCTACTAAATTGGATAAATTTAAGGGGTAATCTTGGTACCAACTTAGTAAGTCTGCATCGAGAGTAAATTCAAAGGACTATGAATACCTGTTAACATCCAATAAAGTAGTACCTTGATATAAATAATAATTAGATAGCCCTAACCTGGTATATCTATATAATAATAGAAGTGTTATATATATGCAATAGGATTGAAATTAGAAAGTTTAAATAGAGGATTCACAGATGGATCTTAGGCATGACAGCTAGTAGATAACCTTTGGGCAAAACTCTTAATTAGATAATGACTAAAGTTATACATGTAACTAGTTGTACTTTTATTGATAAACTTTGTATATAATTGTAATAATGATATATTACCCAATAAAGACAGACAGACAAGATTGCTGTTTTAAAATATATATATATATATATATATATATTTGAATGCAAAAAATATATTAGAGGTATAGGTCTCATAGCTTAGTGGTTAAGCTTCCATACCTTCCACAGTCAAGGTCAATGGTTCAAGTCCGGTTGGAGGCAAAATTGAAAGATTTTAGCTTCTGTAATCTAATAAGAAGCCTGTAATTGAATGCGAAGCCCTGCGGTTAAGTCCAAGTGCAGTACAATGATGGAAATAGGAATTACCAGAAAGAGACCCAATCGTGGAGTGTAGACACTATGTGTAACAAGCAGTTGTTACAGAAGGTTACAGTTATGAAAAGATTGCGCATGTAAGTCCTTTAGGTTAGGGCAACACCAACATCCTTATACCTCCCAATATAAGCAGTACCAACATCCCTGCACCCAACTTGTAGAGTACTTGCTTGGAAGGATAATCAACGGATTGTGCAAATAAGTCTTAATTGGGATCCAAGAAGAGGA